AAAGGAGCTTCTTTCACAGCGAGTGAGTGCTGCATGTGATAATCTAAATGCTTTCTAAAGCCACAGACAAGTTGGGACTCAGCTGGGCTTCAGGTCTCATGTAGTACAGTGTCGACGCACTTGTTTGAAGCCCTGCCTTTTTACTCGAGTAGCTAAATGCAGAAATGAGTGGTTTTTAAATCAGTTTTTGTAAAACAATGAACTTCTGACACACAGGAAGCAGCACAGACCAGCGGTGCAGCCGTTTCTAACTGTGGCATCAGTCCTTCAGTGAAGGAAACAACACAACTGATCCTCTGAGGGGCAAACTCACTGACTACAACCCTGAGAAGAGGGAAATACACACCGCAGGATTCTTTAGCAATGATCAACAATCCCACCAACCCTTTGCAGACATACAGTATGATAGTTATTCTGTGAATCAGCTTTACTCAATGCAGGCTGTACTAAAATGTCTCCTATCATTATTCATACTTATTATCCACAATGCACCCTCACTGATCAGCTTCTCTTTCACAGTCCAAAGTAGCATTCATTCAGGCCTCCACAAACTCTGGGAAATGTCATTTTTAAAGCGTATGCAGTTGTATTTTTACATTCTAAGGAAAAAGTGTTGGAAATAAGTTTTATATCAGACTTTACTGACAGAACGTTTGACATTATAGAGAGGGTACGATGGGAAGATTGATGCCACTTAGCCACAGCCTGGAGGCAGTTAATTTAGCTCTGGCTGAAGACTGGAAACAAAAAGAAACAAAACCTGCCTATCAGCATGTTTAAAGCTCACTAATTAAAGGTGGGGTCAGTCATTCTGGAGGAAGATAGTGGATTGTTGAGTCTCAGTTGGCAACCCAAAGCGTGTTTTACAACCTGGGAATGAAACTCAACAATCCCCTATCTTTCTCCACCTTTAACACATTATATCCTGTTTGTTTAATCTGCAGATAGAACTTCTTCAGAGGTGCTGGTATGCAGACAGAGCCAGGCTAGCTACGTCTCCCTGCTTCCAGTCTTTCTGCTAAGCTTAGCTAATCGTTTCCTGGCATGAGCATCACATTTAATGGACAGATAGGCGAGTGGTATCCACCCTGTGCACTGGGGGCATACTGGACCAGGATTGACTTCTAAACTATTTGTGATGCCACAAATCATGCTCGTAGGCCCCGCCCCTTTAAAATCAGATGTTCAGTGAGCTCAGAGAAACTTTCCACTTTCAGCAGATGAATGTGAAAACTTCCTTCTAGTGTCAAACTCTGCACACACATCATTCAAACATCACACTGTAGGAACAAGAACAAACTGATTTTTGAGTGGAGGGGGGGCTTTAAATTCCCCCCAAACTGCAGCTATTGGTGAGCTCGTGCTCTTATTGAACTCTTCATGCATACCCCTGTTGAGTCAGTCAATTTGCTTTGGGGCAGCTTCGGCCTAAGGGAAGCCGAGTGGAGAGTTATGAAAGAAGAGCAGGCCTGGGGGGGGGAAGGGAGATCTACAGCTGAGCCTCTATCGTAAAACGATCTGATCAGGAGATAGCCCGGCGAAGGTCGCCTCACCTTGACTGGCCTATCAGCTGAGCTCCACACACTAGTTATGCAACAGACATACTTAACCACTCCTATTTATGAAACGGAGGCTACAAATCAACACGCCTGGCAGGGCCACAGCTGAGGGAGAGCCCGGGTGATGGGTGAGGATGGCAGAGGGGAAGACACAAGGAGAGCCTATATCCTACGGTGAACTCTAACTTAAATGGTTCCCACATCCAATAAAAACAGGAAGGACCAAATGCAGCAGCGCCAGTTTATCAGAATGGAAAGTCCAAGCGTCTAGTTATTACCAAACTGAAGCTTATTCAACAGGATATCAGCACATGTGACCACAGAGAAATCAGAACCTGAAACTGATCTAAGGACCATGTCTACATGCAGCTTGGAAAGAGTGAAGCAATAGTTCCGCCAGGCTAGCCTTTCCCCCCATGTTTCCAGTCTTTTTGCTAAGCTAACACGTGCTTGCAGCAGTATAATTAGTGGTATCGACTTTCTAGTCCAACACTTGCAAAGAAAGCAAATATACATATTCACCAAAATGTCAAGTCTTTAAATATGCAAACCTGACAGGCTGAAGAAAACAGTGAGTTCAAGAGGTGAAAATGATGAAAGACAGAATGGTGAATAGAGTAATGGCCCCCGCTTGTTCCTGATCAATAAATACTCAGCGCTAATAAGCAGCAGCCAACAGGAGTCGTTAATGAGGCTCCGAGGGTATTCATAAATTCACCATCCCCCCTTTCAAATACATGAAACGATGCATTAAAGGACCACTCATGTAATTTAGTATCATACTTCAAGAAAGTTAGGGGACTTGAGAGATGGATGAAAACTAAACTGAATCAGCAGAGGAAGAGGGAAGGTCCCTGGATCACACTGGATTCCCATCAGCCCTTCCTGGTGAAGGCTAAGTTCTCTTAAAACTCTACACCGACAGCTTTCAGGATATCAGTAAAAAAACCAAAGTCATGAGCTGAAATTTAAATGGTGCCATGACATCATAAGGGTGGTTTTTCCCCCTTATTCTCAGAACTAGAGTCACTGAACAGGCTGAGTATCCTGGTTTCTGCACGTCTCAACAGGTTCAATTTTAGACTTTTAAAATCCAATATGAAAGCAAATTAAGACCTATTCATTCATCCATACCGGAAAAGAAAAGTAGGAAGGATATGAAGAAAAATCAGTATTGGTTCTGTGTCGCGTTCTGTAGGTGTTAAAATAAATAACTCAATATTTAGGTCAAAATCATTTTTAAGACATTTTAAGGCAGGCGTCTCAAACTCTTAAAAGGACCCTCTAGTTGACTCATATATAATTCAAAAAACGTTTTGTTTGTAATGGAAATACTTTTAGAATATTGCACTTTCTTGTAGTAGACTAATGTTGAATTAACCCTCCTGTGGCTTGAGTTTGGGAACAGTTTTAAGGCCTAAAATTAAGATTATTAGATTTCTTTTTAAGACCCTGTGGACGCTCTGGAGCAGTTCTCCTCACAAAGAGTAAACTGAGGCATGAGATTAATGTGTACAATTGGTGACATTCCCCTTTAATAGGACTTAATCTCAATAGTTAATGCTCTTTTTTCCCCTTTCAGCAATTCAATCACTGTCTTCTGCTCATCGATGACAAAGTGATCCATCCACAACAGCGCAGGTATTGCTTTATATTTTATTTTATGTACAGTACATGTAAAAAAGAAAACAAAAAAAAGTAGCCAATAACATTGACCAACGTGCGCAACAGTAGATAGCCATGTTGCTCATACACGGGAAAATCCTGACGACCGTTTCCCCTCTCAGGCATACATACATTTAGACTCTCCCCACTCCTCGTTGTGCAAGGCTGCCTGGAAACTAGCCGGGCTTGACAGCAAACAGTCAAACCGCGGATTATCAAACTGGGAGGAGTGTGTTACCTGCTCCCCTAATAAACACACTTCTCCCACTGACAGCCAGCTAGTTTTCAGCCTCGAGCCGAACAAAGTGTTCCCAGAGAGGCGGAAAGGAGACAGGCTGGTTGGCTGAGCGCGACTGTGTGTGTGCAATCTTTTCGGTTAAGTTTTTAATACAGACCACGGCTGTGCTCGACAGCCGTGGTCTCTCGCCTTCACTGCAACCCCCCAACCCTCCCTCCCCCGATTCCAACAGTGCCGCTTTCAACACAAAGGTCACTAAAGGTCAGTGTTGCAGTCTGCTTTTGCCGGATGACTCAATAACTGCAGGCTCTGACTAGTAGCGAGCTTTTCTTCAGCACACTCAGCAGTTGAATTCACAGTATTCTTACAGCATGTTGGTTTAGTTTTTTTTCTCCCAAAGTCACTCATAAAGCTTTAACTGATAATGCATAGGGGGCTTTGACACGTTTGTTCACCTATGTTTCTCCAGTGGAAATGTTTAACGTGGATTTTTGTAGTGTGTGTGTGTGTGTGTGTGTGTGGCAGATGAGCTGAGAGAGAAACAAGTCAAATGCGAGAATACAGTGTACACAACCATCCGTGTCTGGTGTCCCCAAAAGTCGTACAATAAAATGAAATAAAAAAAGATTATTTTTTTTTGTGTGTGTGTGTATGTATGTATATCTCCAAGGCCAAGGATAGTCAACCACAAAGACTTCTGAACTCCCCTGCTGCCTATCAGGGCTGTATCTCGCAGTAGTGTTTCAGACAGTGAGCTTACAGCAGGCCACCAAGGTACAGATAAAGTGCTTTTTTTTCTCTTAAATGTGACGCTTTAAATAATGAAAGTGATGTAAAATTAAAAAAAAAAAAA